GTCATAAACTATCATTTCCGTAACTTCTGGAGGAAGGGGCCCACGGAAGTCAGGGCTCCACTCTGGGGTCAGGTCTCAGCGTGCCTGGCACAGAGCGGTGCTCAGTAACTGTCTGAGGACTAATTCATCTGTGCTGCAGGCTTCGGTTTCCCGAGAAGACAGCTTCCGCTCCCTGCAGTCAGCCCAGGTCTGGCTGGGACGGGGAGGAACCGTGGCTGTAGAAACAACATTGAGGCATCGTTTTCCCAGACAGCCCGAGGAGGGCACGGGCCACTCGCCTCCCTGGGTTCGCAGAGGGCGGGCCACGGGTCCACAGAGAGCCAGCCACGGGCCACTCCCCTCCCTGGGTCCACAGAGGGCGGGCCACGGGCCACTCCCCTCCCTGGGTCCACAGAGAGCCAGCCACGGGCCACTCCCCTCCCTGGGTCCGCAGAGGGCGGGCCATGGGCCACTCCCCTCCCTGGGTCCGAAGAGAGCCGGCCACGGGCCACTCCCCTCCCTGGGTCCGCAGAGAGCCGGCCACGGGCCACTCCCCTCCCTGGGTCCGCAGAGAGCCGGCCACGGGCCACTCCCCTCCCTGGGTCCGCAGAGGGCGGGCCACGGGCCACTCCCCTCCCTGGGTCCGCAGAGAGCCGGCCACGGGCCACTCCCCTCCCTGGGTCCGCAGAGAGCCGGCCACGGGCCACTCCCCTCCCTGGGTCCGCAGAGAGCCGGCCACGGGCCACTCCCCTCCCTGGGTCAGCAGAGAGCCGGCCACGGGCCACTCCCCTCCCTGGGTCCGCAGAGAGCCGGCCACGGGCCACTCCCCTCCCTGGGTCCGCAGAGAGCCGGCCACGGGCCACTCTCCTCCCTGGGTCAGCAGAGGGTGGGCCACGGGCTGGCCACCTTCTCCACACAGTCCTTGTTCTGACACCAGAGCGAGAAACGAGCAAGTGCCTCTCTGTGGCTACTTCTCCAATCATACCCTCCTAGCAACAATGTTACTGGCTCAAAAAGAAGTACCACTTTTCTCACTAAGGTAGGTCATTTAAGAGGCAAGGATATACATTTCCCTATGGGATCTCATAGCCCCCCAACCCCATCCCCACCCCGACTCCCTCCCTGCCTTTTTGTGCTTTGAGCCAAAAACATGTGACCTGGAAACTTTTTTGTCTTAAATGGGCCCTTATGGTTAAAAAAAAAGGTATCTCACTATTCCTGTAAGAACAGGGGTTTTTCAGCAGCCAACAGGACACTGGGCAATGCCCGGGGACCTGCTGGATGGCCATGGCTGGTTGCGCGGGAGCTGCCGGCAACCAGTGGGTGGAGACCAGGGATCCCGCTCACAGTCCCACAGTGCACAGGACGGTTCCCGACAACACAGAATGATCGGGCTCTAATGTCGATGGTGCTGAGGTTGAGACCTCCTGCTCTGGAAGAATCTCAGCTGTGTGTCTTGGGTGAATGACTTGGATAGCTTGGGTCAGGCCCTCCAGAGTGTTGGTTTTATTTATCGGTGTCTTGGCCTCAGGCCTTCTATACACACTGAGTAGAAAAGCAACATGTGGGGTTTGCATGACTGCATCTGAACGGCACTGACGTTGGGGACATTGCCTGGAACCCCAGCCACGCCCCCTCTGCAGATCTCACAAGAATCCCTTAGCTCCCAGTGTCAGAAAACGCTGAGCCGCTTCTGGGACCATTGCAACCTTGTGAACATCGTGAGCCTCAGAGCTGGTGGGTTTCCCTTTTTGCTTTGACTAACAGGAAGCTCAGAGTCCATGTTCAGCCCACCTCTGAGGCCTGGGGAGAGTTCCCTGCGCCACTCTCTTAGTTCTTCGCATGTTTGTCCCAGCCTTGTTTTCCCTCTGATCTATTTTTACCCTATTGTAGCTGACACATTTTTGTAAGCTGCCTCCAATCCTTTTTGGATCAAAGCAGGGCATAAAACCAAAACAAAATTCAGCAGAGCCCTGTGGCCTTGAGGGGTACTTTTTAACATGCCAAGTGTCACTTCAGGGTTGGAGTCCTGCCGGGAAGGCCATTCTCCTGGCTCCTCCTGTCCCCTCCTGTCCCCTCCTGGGAGTGTCGACTTGGACAACAGCTCAGTGAATTAGAGCAACAGGTTTTAGAGGCGAAGCCACCAGCCTCCATCTGCCTGCAAATACCTTCCCTCTCCCCAAAATGTTCTCTCCAGTCTCCCATCTGGCTGCTGGCAGGAGGCCACGGGGCCCAGAAGAGCCTGCAAACGGGAGGCAGGCGAAGTGTCCCGTTTTTATTCCTAACTTTTCTTCTCCGCGTCTCCAACCAAGGTCTGCGGACGAAGGCAGGCACCTTGGGGAGCTGTGTGAAGGCCCAGGTGAGCCAGGGAGGGGTGGGGAGTGCGGCACACACCTGCAGAGGTCACCCCACCCACCCCGCCCACTGGCCACCCCGACAACTACTGCGCACCCGACTCCGTGAGCAGCTGCGCCCCGGACTGTCTGCGGGCTCAAAGCCAGCCCAGTCCCTTACGCAATCTCTGCTCGGCTCCACGCGGGGGACTTTGGCCGGTGCCTTCTCCCAGTCTCCATAAAATGGAGGCAGAGCTGGTGAACCAGACCCTAGAATTTGAAGATCCTAGGGACCCCCTGCCTTTGTGTGTTCTGACACCCTCTCTTCCTTTTGACCACTCTCTTCTGGGGTCATGGGGCCCCAGTGAAGAGGAGGGGGTGGCATGGTGTGGGTGCGAGAACGCAGGTGGTGAGCACCTGGGGGGACCCGCCTGGGCACCAGCAGAAACACAGGCCCGAGGCTGCAGGCTCGAGGGGCAGGGGGCCCAGCCGGAGCCCTGGTTCTGCCCAGCAGTCAGCCAAAGTGACCCTGCGAGGGGCAGGGCCTGTTCTGCCCAGCACACTTGGCCTTGGCACCGCCTGATGGGCCCTTTGGGCAAGTGAATCACAGCAGCTGCTGAGGGGGGCCCGGAGCTCTTAGCACCTCGCTTGCAGCACCAGGAAGCACCTCCTTCCCTGGGCACATCCTGGCCAGCGGGGCTGTCAGCTGGGCATCGCTGGCCCCACCTGGTCATTCTGGGGGTAAAGCATCAGGGTGGGATAGTGGTTGTGAGGAAGGGCCTTGGAACCCATGCCCGGGTCCCTGTCCCCTCCTCCACTGACCAGCCCAGTGGTGCTGGGCCAGTTCCTTCACCTCGAGCTGCCTCAGCGTCCTCACCTGTGAAACGGGATGAAACAAATAGTGTGGGTCTCACAGAGTTGTCACGAGAATTAAGTGAGGCCATTACACAAAAACAGTGCCTGGTACACGGCAGTCCTGATGGCTAAACCCCCGACCACAGCAGCACAGAAAGCAGAGTCCCTTGTGGGTGGGGGAGGGAGATGCCCCGACCAGGGATGGACTAGGGCGGGGCTGATACTAAGGCATCTTGGGGTCATGACTCAGCTCTGCCTGGGCCAGGAGGCTTTGGGGTCCCTTCACATTTTTGGAAATGTTCACTGCGATCTGAATTACAGTGACTGCACCATTACCCAGAAGTAGTTCCTGGCTCCTGCTTGGAGTCGTCGGAGGTAGAGGGGGCCCACAGAACACCTTTAAGGGGAGACGCATTGTGTGAGGCCTTAGGTTTCCCAAGTGAACCTCAGAGACCAACGGAGAGCAAGGCCCCCACCCCCACTCCACCTCCACCCAAGGAAGCTCTGACTCAGCCTGTTACCTGTAGGAGTTCAACATACAACCTTGGTGCAAATACAACTTCTGGTAAAAAGTTGAAAATCACGGAGCTAGCGCCAAATTTTTGAAGACGGAGAAACAGCAGCTGTCCAGGGAGGGAAAAGGACTGGCCCAGGGCCACACAGCAAACCGATGACAGCTGGTGCGGCTGGGCTCATCCTGCCTGGTTACCCCGCGTGTCGGGTGGGCCTGCCGAGGCCCCAGCCAGAGTTCATGCTGCTGGAGGGTTGAGCTAGACCTCTCCCAAGGCCCCGGTCTTCCTGAATGGCTGGGCTTCTCCACCACGTCAAACGGCAGGTCTGGGGCTCGGGGGGGCGGGCTTCTCCCAGACCCTCAAGAAGTCTGGAATGCGGGGTGGGGGAAGCATAGCCCTCACTCAGGTGTTTCTCCTCACCTGCCTGGGCCTCATTCCACATTGTTTTCCTCTCTGCAGTGGCCGAGGGCTCCTGTGGGCCGGGGATGTGCCCCAGCCCCCCAGTCCCCCAGCCCCTCGGGGCCACCATGTGGTCTGTTCCTAACTCTGGTTTTAGCCACGTCCCTCGTTAGCTCTAATGAGCCAGTCTAGTGACACCAGGACATTTTAATCATGCTTCTAACTGCTTCCCAGGATGAGTGCGGCCCAAGTTCTCTGTGGATGCTGGGGAGGGACAGGGTCCCCAGGAGCGCGGCCACGCGTGCAGGAAGGCGTTCGGGGCCCAGCGAGCAGAGCCAGCCCTGCCCAGGCAGATATTCTCTTCTCTACGCCTCAGCCGGGGGCGAGGTGGGCGTCAGGAAGGGAAGGTGGTGACGCAGGACATGGGCGGGGGAGTCACCAGGTCCCCACCCAGGGCAGACACACCCCTGACCTCACTTTCCCGAGCAATGAAGCTCCCAGGTGTGCGTGGGGGTGAGGTCCAGGTGTTCCGAACCAGTGATGTTCTCCCTCTACTACTCGGTGATTTGGAGAAAGTGGCCATGAGGCCTCTCGGCACATAACTGGGGGACCTCAGTGGGCCGTGAGGCTGAACGCAAACGTACCCCCTGAAAGGTGATGTCCCAGGTCAAAGAGTAAAAGGCACCTGCTGTGTCCTGGTGGCGACATCCCAGGGCAGCTGGGACACCGAAGCCCCAGAGCCCCCGAGGCAGGGGGTGCAGAGCCAGGCAGGAGGCGAGGGCCCCAAAGGGATATGAGAGGAAAGGCCCCCCCCGGCCCCTGAGGGCCCCGAGGCAGGGCAGCCCCGGCCCCCAATCCACCCACCACGTCCTGGAATGACCCTTCCCAGAAGCAGAGACAAACATCAGACATGCTACAGGGCTTTTTTTAATGTTGTCTCACTGTTTTAACAATTTCATGAAAAAAATATACAGTTCAGAATCCGGAACTGACCACCGCCCGGGTGGGTGTCAAGGGCAGCGGGCAGGGGCTGCTCTCCTGGAAGCCGAGCCCCGTGGGGTGCTGGGACCAGGAACTAAGCTAGTGTCTGAGTCAGGCTCTGGCAGAAAATGGGAGGCTGGAGCGGCCACGCCCACCCGCCGGGCTGGATCCGGCCCCTCCCCCTGGCTCTGGCCCCTGGCTCCGGGGCCAGGAGGAGGTGGGTCAGCCTGTTCCCAGGACAGAACAATCACCAGTTGACCCTGGGCTCACACCCAGGCTCCTACTCAATCCCTGTGGGCTGGGTTATAGGACCTAGGCTGAAATTTGAATTTCAGGAGGACAAGAGATAATGTTTTCATTTAAGTGTGTCAGAACATCTGGCATGGGGACATCCTCCCACTGAAAACTTCTCCTTCTGTTTTGTGGAAAAGTCTGGCAACCCTGTACCGAGACCCCCAGGACCCTTGCCTCAGAAGTCCAGGAGGGAGCAGGCACAGGGGCCTGGGGAGAGGAGGAGGCAGTGAGGGGGCCTGGGAGGTGAGGAGGTTGAATAACAGTCCCCCCCCCCAAAAAAAAGCTTTTATCCCCCATAGGAATGATATATTACTTTAAAAAAGTCATTTTTCAGAAATATTCTACACTGGACGCCTTCAGCTGTTAATAGCTACGGTGGAGGTGTACATACAGGCAGACACCACCCCATCCGATTCTAAATAAAGTTTGGAAGCACCTAGTATAAAGGTGTCTAGAAGGAGCCGATGTGCCCCTGGCCACAGGCCTACAGGCTGCTCTCCATACGGCTCTAGAAAGATTTAAACATAACAAGACAGAACAAGCAAGCCCACAGGGGCTGAGCCACTACAGTCTGTTCCTAGTGTCATCCGGCTAGGGCCCCTTCCTAAAAATAGGGGCCCCTGGGGAAGGGGCCTCGTTTAGTGTTCAGTCTGGCTTGACTCCAAAGGGCTCCAGGCTTCCTGTTCAGGAGCCAAAGGGGGGGGCACATGCCCACCCCATTCTTCCCGTGACACACATTCACCCAGGGAAGTCACTGCCTGCCAGGTCAGCAGAAACACAGGAGAGAAAAGGGGAGCGGCTGTCCTTCGCCCCGGCCTCGAGGTCGCCCCCGAGCTGACCTGCGGGAGGCCAGGCAGGAGCTCGGGCTGACATCTGACATCCGCTTGAGGCCCCGTGGAGAAAAGGAAATCAATTCCCACTGTAAGAACATAGCCCCGTCCTACAGAGCTCAGGGAGGCCAGGGTGTGTGACAGAGTGAGGCACGCAGCCGGCACCCAGGCCAGCTCCGAGTCCTCCAGGGGCCCCAGGCTCAGCCAGTGCCCCTCAGCCACCAGGTCCAGGGTCTGTGGACGCCGCCAGGCTCTTGGTGGCCCCTGACGGGAAGGAGAAGGGGGAGGTGGGCTGGGAGCAAGGAGCCCAAGCCAAGAGCGGGAGCCCCACCTCCTCCTGCCTCACACTCGGATCTCATCCTCCTCCTCCTCATCCATGAAGGTGAACTCCTTGTCGGGCTGCCTGGACAGAGTGGCCCGGGCCCGGTCTGGCCCCCGGAAGGCAGGGCTGCGCTCCTCCAGGACGCCGGAGGTGCAGCTGGACAGGGAGCTGCTGTCCCGAGTGGTGTGGCTCCCCGTGCTGCGGGCAGAGCCGGGACTGGGGGCCACCGCGGCCCACGCCTCGTCCTGCGGAGCCTGGGACAGCGGGGGTGAGTCCTGGCCAGCCTTGCCTTCCTGCCTGGCCAGCGGAGGGGCCCCCGACCCCGCAGGGGGAGCCTTGGGGAGACTGCCTGGGTCCTCGTCGCCCTCGTAACCACCATTCTCTTCCTCTGGCTCCCACTCCTCCTTGTCCATGATGCTCAGGACGTCTCCCAGCATGGAGGGCCCCAGGTCAATGTGGAAGGACATGATGGACTCCGCATGCTTCAGCCCGAAGCTGGCCTTGGGCATGATGGGCAGATCCGTCAGGTCCCCGAAGGCCTGCTCGTCGAGGAGGGGGTCGAGGCAGCGGGGGGCCGTGGCCCCATTCCGCCGGGGCACCTCCTCCACACGGGCCGCCTCCTGGTCGCCCTCCCCGGCACTCGCCTTCTTCACGGGGCTGGACGACAGGCTCTTGGGCAGCTTGCCGGACCCCTTCTCTGCGGCCTCCTTCTCGTTCAGCTGGGGCAGGGACATGGCGTTCTTGACAAACAGGGCCGAGTCCCGCAGCGAGCCCAGCATGTCCCTCTGCTCCTGGTCCCCCCTGGTCACCGACTGCGACCGCTTGCTGCCCCGGAACTTCCGGGACAGGAGGCTGCGTTTGGAGGACGAGGCGGGCGCCTGCTCATCCAGGGGCTCGCCCTCCAGCTCGCCAGCCTTGCTGTTGAGGAAGGAGGTGTCCCCAAAGGCGTCCCCCGCCCGGCCCACGTGCATGGTGTGGCGGAAGTCGCCCAGCGGAGCACTGATCATCTCGGCCGTGAGGTCCACGCGGGAACGGCGCTTGGAGTGCACCGAGCTGGACACCAGCTGCTTGAGGATGGGCATCGTGCCCTCGGGGAAGGGAGGCCACTGAGGCCGCAGGCAGCCCGGAGTCAGATGTGAAGTCTGGCGGGTGGAGGGGCGATGAGGACGCGCTCACAGAGCTGCGGGAAGAGAAGGCAGGAAAGGGTTAACCTGGGCTGGCCCGCAGCACTGCCGCCCATCTGCCTCCAGGCTGGTGTTCAAACCCCAGCTCCCAACAGGAAATAATCTGAACCGGGCCAGCCATCCACTGTATCAACCCTGCCTCCTTCCTCACCCACAGGTTCTCGGGTGAGGGGACGACGGCCTTTTGCAAATCGGTGCGGAGTTCAAGGAGCCAGAGACGCACATTCCCCGAAACTGGGGGGAGAAAGAGATCTTTCTTCTCAAGGACGATAAAGTCTCCCCACCTTCCACACCTCCTCCCACCAGGATGCTGCTGGAGCAAACAGGACCACACTTGAGGACGTGGAGGCCATTCCTCAAGGCAGTATGGGAAAGAGACTGAGCCCAGGGCTTGACTTCACCCCTGTGAACAGCTAGTCTGGAGACAGACATGTGGAAGTTCTTCCTGCTGTCTGACCTCGATCCCTGTGAAGTTAGTGGACACCTCAACCTGAGTCACGGTCCTCACAGGAGGGAGAAGACAGGACGGGCCCCAGGGAGATGCGGCCTGGCATCTCAACCTATGTGGGCGGCCAGGCTCACTTTCTGAATCAGAACTGGGGTGGGGCTGCTGGGATTCACAGAACCAGCTCCCCAGCCTTCCCGTCTTCGTGGGGCGTCCCTTGAATGAAGATCTCGCCTCCAACGTCTCCGTCGCGGGGCCTCGCGCCCTTTGTTGAGAACCTACCCTGCGTCCCTTGGGGAGATCAAGACAGAAGACTCTCTCGATGTCTTTAATCACTCGGGGTATAAAAAAGCAGGACCTAGACCCTAGATGACCTGGGCTCCCTGGCAACGGCAAAGGGCCACCTGAAAGCATGAAGCACCACCCACGCAGCTCCTGGCAAAGGTCAAGGTCAGGTTCGGTGGTGGAGTCAAACCAGGCCCTTTCCCTCAGGAGGGACCGGCCCCAAGTGCTAACCCAGCAGCACAGAGCCGAGCAGCTTGGGGAGAGAGGGGTGCAGACTTAACCAAGCAGAGTGGGCAGGGGGTGGTGCTGGGCCACCAGTCCTGCTAACGGCACCCTCACCGCAGGCCTATCCTTCCGGATGCAAAGCTCAACCTGTGGGTGCCCCACCTGTGTTTCTTCACCCCCCCTCCCCGCTACTGTCCCCAAGCGAGGCCCCTGACATCAGCCCAACAGGTCTTCCTGCTCCCCATGTCCCTTTCTAGCCCTTCTTCACCTTTTAGCTGAAACACCCTTCTCAGACTCCCCAGGGCCAACCCCTGGGTCCGGCCATCAGTCTCCACACACCCACTCAACGCCATCGCTTGCCGCGCCCCCACCCACGCGCTGCCCCTGCCCGATCTCCTCTGCTGGGACACCTGTCCCCTGGCTCACCCGACTTCCTTCAGCACTCGGCAGAGAAGTCACTTCTGGGGGACCGTCCTTAGCCAGGTAGAGTCCTGCCGGCCACCTCCCCGCCCCCAGCACGTCGCTGACCCTCTCCCAGCAGGCACCGTTATACTGTCCCACCCCTGCCGCCGGACTGGGAGCTTCCAGAGGGTTCCGGCAGGCTGCTCACCGCAGAGGCACACCTAGCCGTGCACAGCTGCTCCGTCGCCTCCTCAAGGCCAAGGACAGTGCTGGCTTCATTTCAGCCCAGAGCCCGGCTCCAGGGCTCCCAGCCCGACCTCTCTGTGTCCTCTAACCCCATCCCACGCTCTCCTCCTGGCCCAGCTGCTGACGCCAGTCTCCCGGGCCAGTGAGTACCTCTCCTCCCCGGGGCGGTCACACTGCCTATCACTCCAGCAAACAAAGCTCGCTGGGGTGGGGGGCGGGAGCCAGGCACCAGGCAGACCTGCTGCACAGGTGACCTGGGCCGGCTCCGAGCCAGGTGAGGACCGTCCTGGAAGGCTCTCGCTCCTCACTCCTTCTCCTCCCACCAAACCCTGGGACAAGCAGCTTCATCTCCCGAACCCAAACCCTCCCTCCTGCCCACGCCCTGGGATCTGAACCTCTAAACAAGTAGACAGGAATAGCTAGATCAGGGACTGGCAAACATTTTCTACAGAGGGCCAGATCAAGCTTTCGGCTTTGTTACAGCTATGCAACCGTCTCTGCAGTTTCAAAGCAGCAGCAGACTCCGCGTGAACAAACGGGTGTGGCTGCGTCCCAATAAAACTTTATTTACCAGAACAAGTGATGGGCCGGATATGGTCTGTGGGCCACAGTTTGCTGACTCCTAAATTAGACACATGAAAAGCACTGGCCTTGGGGTCACCCCCTCACCACTGCTGCAGGCCCGGGGTTCTTTCCTCTTCACTCCAGGCCTGTGGGAGGAAGCATCACCCCTCAGTGGCCGGGACCAACAGAGTAGTCCTCTCCACCTCTGGCTGGGGGAGGGCAGAGTCCAGAGAAAGAAACCTGACTGCTCCCTGGGGAAAATTCTAGCACAGCCCTCACGCGGACACTCAGGCAGATCATTCTTCATGGTGGGGGCCGTCCTGCACGTGGTGGGGGCCGTCCTGCACGTGGTGGGGGCCGTCCTGCACGTGGTGGGGGCCGTCCTGCACGTGGTGGGGCCGTCCTGCACGTGGTGGGACGTTAAGCAACATCCCTGGGCTCTACCCCCACGAGATGCCAATAGCCTCTCTTCCTAGAGGTGACAACCAAAAAGTCCCCAGAGATGCCAGCTGTCCCCTGGGGGCACCACACCCCAGGAAGGAAGGGTCAGAACTGTGAGAACAGTGACGTAAATGTCCAAAGTTGTGCAAGGGTTTCAGTGTATCGGCAGGAATCCCCAAACCCAGTAAGCAACATCCCGCCTGTGGTTTCCGATCGTAAGTGCTTGTTAGAGAGAAAGAGAAACCGCAAGCCCAGCTGCCCAGGGCTCAGCAGGGATGGTGCAGACCCCTGTGGCCACCCCCAGGGATGGGGTACCCTGGCCACATGGCCACAGGACAGGAGGGTCCCCACCCTCCCATAAACGCCCCTGGTAGCACGTCAGGGGTAGCCTCTGCAGCAGTGTGACAGGGCCAACAGAGAAATGCCCAGACCAGAGGGGATACCCCGGACCCTGCACAGCCCAGAGGACACAGAAAGGTCTGGCCAGTGCTTGCTCCTGTCTGGGCCGTTCTCCCAGGGGCCGGGAACCAGGCTCTGTGGCTCGTGAAAAACCAAACCATCTTCGATATCGAGCATGAAAAGGGTTCGAGAGCTGGGGCCTAGATGGTCACCCACCTGTCCCCCAGACACGGAGGCGGTGCTGCAGGACCCAGCAGAGAGGCGAGGGCCGGGTCTCCAGGATGCTAGGGCCAGAGGGCACCCTAGACAGGCCAGGCTTGAGGGCTGGTGGGAAACTCACTCAACGGGGCTGTTTGAGGCCCCACAGTGATATCTTCACCTTAAGCTTCTAGCAGAACGATTTGGGGGCGAGGGGATGGACATGGAGTTCACACGCAAGCAGGTGGCCCGGGCCAGTCCGGGGGCCAGTCCAGGAGGCCTGGGCGCCCACCCGGAAGGGGAGCAGAGGCGCTGGGAGGGGAGCAAGGTGCCATGACTCAGCTCCGGGGAAGTGGCTAAAACAGGCGTCAGAGGACAGGGCAGCCTCTCCGCAGAGCCCGTCATGCGTGGGACACCCCCACCCCACCCCGGAAGCCACATTCCCTTTTCTGGGCCGAGCACAGAAAACCGGAGCAGCACCCAGAGCTCTCCGACTCTCCCGGCCTCCTCTACCCCCGGCCCCAGAACATTCCTTCAAGGCAGAAGCAACTGAGGACCAGGCCCCTGGCCGGTCTACTCAACCCACACCCTCGGCTCGGCTCCCACCCGATCCTGGGACTAAGACTCACCCTGGTCTCCAGATCAGCTCGCCCTGCAGCTACTGGGCAGACGGCAGGACAGGCTGGACCAACACTTCCCACGTCCCAGTGGCCTGACCTGGCAGCCCGGCCTGAGCAGGGTGCAGACCTGAGTTGTCCCGGGGCAGCCGAGCAGCCTCCCCCTTTCCAGCTGGCACGCAGCTCCCCCTGTACCACGAGTACACACACTTCCACACCCACTGCACTGCGCGGCCGCCCCTCCACGGGTCCCCAGGCTGCGCTAACCATCCAGCAGTACTGGCCAAGCAACACGGCCGGACAGACGGCGGCGGCGGGCACGGCTCCACTCGTGGCCGGGAATGACCGCAAGAGGATCCCGCGGCCATCACCCTTTCTCTCCGGCTCTCTCTACTGCACACCCACCCACGTTCCCATGCTCTGCTGGGCCCTGGGGACAGAGCGGTGCAAACACAGGGCGCCACACCCCTGCCCTGCCGGCACACTCGCAGGGTGAGCGTGGGTGGGTGCTGGGCCAGGCTGTAAACAGGCAAATAAAACAATGCCTCGAAGTCCTCACTGTCAAGGGGGACACAAGGTGATTCGAGGGAGAGTCGAAGGGACACTGTGAGCTGAGAACTGGACGGCCAGGAGGGACCAGGCACACCGAGAGTGTTCCAGACAAAGACCCAGGGGTAGGGACCAGCTTGTGATGTTTGAGGACCAGACTGCGGGAAACCCAGGGCCCAGGTCACCCAGGGCCTTCTCCGCAAGACCAGATAGGCGTCTGGACGGCGGCCCAGGTGCACGGGGCAAGCGGTGACAGTTTCTAAGCAGGCACGTCATCTAGTCTTCATATTTGGACATTCCCATGGCTGCTGGCATTGGAGGCATGGAGGGAATTCAGGGCAAAGAGGAAAGGGGCCAGGATACGGGCGTCACGAAGGAGCCGGACAGAGGGGCCTCATTCAGGGCACTTTTTTTTTTTAACCCAAGGACATCTCTGCATTTATCTCGAGACTCAGCGGGAGGGGGAGAGAGAGAGAAACATCGATGTGAGAGACACATCAAGTGGCCACCATCCACACGACCCCAACCAGGGCCAGGGGCAAGCTGCAACCGAGGTACATGCCCTTAGCGGGAACCGAACCCGGGTCTCTCTGGTCTGTGGGCCGACGCTCCAAACCGGCCAGGG